CWWMTWAKTACTGTGTAATGACTAGTGGGACTAAAAATTTGACGTGTACTAGGGCTACAGYGTGCATGTCCAAGCAAAACTATTTGGTTACAARACTGAAACAATTTGGTTGCACAAATGTGGGATTCAAACCCATTACAATGCTTCTTACAATAGACCCTCTCTAGTATGGCACCAATACAAAACAAGTCCAAGAAGGCAAGGGGTAGTGTTTGCATGAGTATGTGGTTTTACTATCAGTTTAGTGCCATAGCAAGTGATGGCACTTGTTGGCTTGTTGGTCTGAGAGTCAAGTTGATGGCTTTCAAAAACTGGTTCAAAGACAGCATGCAAAAATACCCAGACCCTGCTKTCTACAGCACAGCCATCCAGAAGAGTCTGGTCACTGTCAAACTCAAGGAAGAAGTGAAAGAAGGACTGGGAATACCTACAGAGTGCAATTCCTTGAGTTGTTCTCTTGTCCCTTTGTTGATGCTCTTCAGGGAAAAGCTGATTTTCTTTTTCCAGCATGGCCTGGTGGGCCTGCATCAGGAGAGCCCTGAAGAAGACTACTATTGCCTCAGCCACCATCTATTGATTTAGTCTTGCAAGGTTGGTGAGAGAGAAGTGTGTGTAATTATGGAGGGAATAGCAAAACAATATAACTCAATTTTTTTACTGTAAATTTTGTGTTTTTGACTGTAATGGCAGGCAGTGTGCCAAGTTATATTTAATGACTATTTTGTGACCAAATTATAGAAAATTCCTAATTTCTCATATTTGATTTTCCACATAGTACCCTGTAACATCTTTTTGGCATGTGGACATCATCCCATAGTGAGTACTCCTAGTCTAAGTCTACTGAAGTCTAAATTTAGACTTATGAGTAACGGGAATGACCCAATATTAGGGTCCAGGTGAGGATGACATTACTACTACTACTACTGCACCACTTCTCCTAGTGGTAGCTACTAGCTACCAGTACTATTACTAGTAGGCTTTAGGTTGGGATTGGCAGTTTTTGGTGGTCAGTTTCTTGCTAGGACTATCTGTGTTGTTAAWCCTTAAATATTTATGTTTAGACAAGAATGCGTTTATGAACGAGTCATTGCTTTGCGGGTTCAACACAGAATACTACAACAACTAGTAGTAGTAGTGTCCAKGAACACTGTATCTGACTAGTCACCACCACAACTAGTAGTATTTATTGATCTTGAAGTACAGTACTTCTCAAGTAATAGAAATATGAAGGATGGTACAGAGATGGATGACAGGCATTCCATCACTAGTAAACACAGTACTTCAGTTTTGAASAGAGAAGATGATAATTACAACATGGTTTTTCAACAATTATTCACGAGGCTGAAACCTGTTGGACCTGAACCCTGTTGAACCCCTCAACGCCAAYCCTAAATGTAGCATTCTTTGGCAGTCATTAAGCGGCGGTCGTAGTGGAAATTCATTCACATCGGTTCATCCCTGAAGGTCTCTCCTTCGGTTAGTTCCAAACCATGCTCTCCGTCGTTTGGACTGTCAATATCCCAGGCACCACCGAAATCCACTCGTTTGCGAATGAATGAATGGGTGAACTTCKTTCGCATAATTAAGTAGGTAATTGCACTACCCCCTAGTCCGCTCATGACCACTAATATGACAAAAATTGCCATTCCTGTGGTAGTTGATAAAGACAGAAGATGAGATGGTTCTTCGTCGCTTTCAATATCGAGAGAGGACGAAAGTACGTCCTGTTCTAAATCCTGAGTTACTTCTTTCGTGATCGGTGCCGAACAATCTATGTCTCTTCGGGCAATAGGATCCAATATAGTTTTGAGGTGAACGATGTCACAAAGTTCGCAATCCTCGTGGCAACCATCGACCTTTGGTGTCAATATTTTTCCATTGTACAAAAGCCGGAAGGCAAATTTACTTGTGTATATACTTGTGTCCGATCGACCATCGATGAGTTCGTGGATCTCGATCAACACCATAGATGCATAGGGGGCCCACTCTGTGTCCTTCCACAAATCGGGGCCGAGAGATGCCAACAACGGCATCAAGGTTGTATCGTGACCAGCAAATAAGGCCAACTTTGGAGCGCCGTCCTCCTCTGCTAATACCCGATTGATATTTTTCATGATTTCGTACCACAGAGGACCCATTCCTAGCTTAGCGAATTCGGCATYGTTGTACTTCATAACCTTCGTGTACTTTTGGATCTTGTATTCGGTCATCTTCGTAAACCAATTTTTGGTGGTGCCATCATAGTCGTCGGCGGCATTCGGTAGTGGGCGATCGGTACAAATGGTACACATCATGCAATCTAAAACGGAGGCATCGTCGTCCATCTTTACCTTATCCTGCATATAATCTCGAATTTCTTTGGAATTCCGCGAGTTTTCGAATGCTTGGTAGTCTGGAGACTGCACCGCCTTGTCTTCGATGGCTTGCAATCGGGGACAAACGTACTTGTTGGGGTCCACAATGTCTCTGTCTTCATCGGCTATGTGGAGGGGTATGACAATGTTCTTGTTTGTGGTGGACTGAATCTTGGTCATTTCTGGATCGAAAAGCCCCCTCAGCAATATTTGTCCCGACATCACAGTTCGTTGGTAGTCGTCGGCGCGGAAATAGAGATGATGGGGATACTCCCACGGCAAGTCGTTTTCGTCGTCGAGACTGAGGTCCAAAAGTCTCATTCGCTCGTCGTGATCGTACTCTCCTTTTGTGTAAGTGTAGGCATCCCGTAGAATTTTTCCATTCTGGATTTCTTGCTCGTAGCCCTGCTCGAGGAGCTGTCCCATTTCGCAGGTTCCATTCAAAACGTTGGCGAGTCCGTCCTCGGGAAATTCGAGTGCGTCGTATCGTTTTTCGAACAAGAAAAAGGCCGGATCGTTTCCAATGCCACTCTCACTGTTGCCTGYATTGTAAAAAAAACCATCCCGAGAGGGCGTCGCCATGAAAGTCGTTAAATCACCGCAGTCCCAAACTCCAGTCCGGGGCGAATCCCAAAAGCCGTCCCAGCATTTCATTTCACTGGACCACGGTGTGCGAGCGCCATGGCGGACGACCGATGTGACGTGAGCGAGTCTTGTTTCTCCRATCAGAGGTGTTGATGTTGTGGTGGAGTTGTTTGTGTCGTCACCGCTATGGTTGCCATTGCCATTGCCATTTGCATTGTGTTTTGAGTTGGAAGTGCCGATGTAATCACGAAGAGGAGGAATTTTCCGGCTCTCCATTTCCGAAGGATTAGAACAATAGGGTGGATAGTGATCGTACTTGTTGTAGAAAGATGATAGCAATCTAGAGGAGGACGAAGACACTGTGATTTTTACAGCGGCCATTCCCACCGTAAGACTCAGAAATGTTCGTAGCATCGTTATTGTATTGATCATCACCGTAGATTCATTTCGTTGCAATCGATTTGTGGAAAGCAGTGATTCTGTGGCTCGTAGACCAACGATCGGCAGGACGTATTTCAACTCTACTGTTTAGGATCGGAGATGTAGTGAATTTTGATTTGTTCCAGGTTGTTTTCCACGGASTCCTTTTCAATCTATTCACTACAGTATCGCAATTTTTTTCATGTACCGTATGACCGTAGTGCTCGTAACTCGTACCGGTATGTTGGTGTATGCTACTGGTGAGTTTGTACCAATAATAACTTGACGTTATTGGACTTGACATTAGGAGCTCTAATAGGTAGTAGTATCTACTCGTACCGGTACAACAAGAATTCGGTCACGGTGCCGTGGTGGCTTTGTATATCTGTCGCTATGGAGAGTACGARTACGTTCGTACTGTAAAGTATGAAAAATTACATTTGTATGCTACGGAACGTATTCGTACGCAAAGCAAGGTCGTTCTACTGAAATCATTGAAAAAAGAGTTTGCTGTTGTTTTTCTACGATACAAAAAACAAAAATTAGTAAACCCCTTCGGACCGTGAATACAACTAATCRTATTCTGAGCTCGTACAGTACCGTACGTACTACTACACGTAATACCTTATTCCTACCTGGCTTTGCAGACTGGAAACGGTACGTACGTACGTACGTTCGTGAGTACAGTTTCAGCGTACAACCATTCCAGTTACACTTCCATCGCCGATTATTATTAATAGTATTTTCTCGTCGTTTTTATCATTTTTTTTATCTCTGTACCGGTACGAAGAAACTATCGTCACGAATAGTATCGCAAATACATCTGTTGGAAGGGAATTGTTGAACCATTGATCATAACAAATAGAAGGAATCTCATTATCAAGCGCAAAACACGTCAAACGAGGTGCAGTCGGAAAAGTTAATTTGATTGCGTCATACAGGCAGAAACAATTGTTGAAATTCTAGAAAAAGKTTCCCGTCTGAAATCACAACGAAAGACGATCAATGATTCATTTATTCAGATTGATCCAAAGTCGCCGCTAGCAATCACAACAGAACAAAGTATTCATCACGTTGAGACTCATCCTCATAAATARTGTTCAGGAAYATYGGATCGATCAACACACCTTTCTTTTACTACCATGGTCTTGTCGTTATCGTCCCTTTTATCGACGTCGACCTCTTCGTCGTCCATGATTCCWAACCATCATCCTTCGAAAGTTCACAACGACTGCRATAAAATCAGCGATACCGATTCAAGTCTATCTCATCTTGCTGAATCTATCCTGAGAATTTCGGARACCCATGAAGTYACCAGATTCTACAACAACTACAATAGCGTTCACGACARTAAAACAATTAAGGGAACAGGGGGTCTCTATTCGAATGGACTCTTGCGTATGATGACGGGCGAACGCAATTACAGCGACAACGGAAAGGAATTTCCAGCACCTACACTTTCAAATACCGTGATAGCGCCACCCTCCGGGATGCTCTCGGGCTGGAGCGGCGATGTGGATTGGGAATCAAAGCGGCGGGCCGAATTTTCTCAGCTAGAAAGCAGCAGCAACAACAATACAGCCAACAAGCAACGGCAGCTTCGGAAAGTGATTCGGGCACGGCGAAAGAGCGTCAACCAACAACGATTCAAGGTGGCCTCTTTGCGCCGCCAGCGCCTCCGCCTGGAGCGCCTCCATTCGAAAAATATGAAGAGCCTCGAATCGAACGTGCCGCTCTCGCAATGTTTGCGGGATTGCTCGGATTCGYCCGTGTCGTCGTCGAGAGGGTCTGCGGTGAGCAACAAAGGGGGGCTCCGACGGCGTGCTTCACGATTTGGCAGCGGGGACATTGCCAAGGGGAGACTGGAGTGGAAGCAGAAAGAACAAAATGAAGAACAAGATCGAGATCGAGAACTACGATGGAGTCGGAATTGTAGTCGAAGAASATTGATAACATCCCTGGACAACAACAAAGATAACAACAGACTTCAATTGAGGTTTCTACGGGAACAGAAAAAATCCCAGCGAGCTCTGTTGGATTTACAGGTGGGATTAAAGCACATGGGGCTGTGAAAAAGCGCAGCGATATTCGCTCACAGGTACTATCTCTTTCTTGAACATACAAACTGCAATACAGTTTTCCCCCCTCCCTTTTACCTAGAAGTCATTACTACTAGTAGTACTACTAGTAGTACTACTAGTAGTACTACTAGTAGGAGGAGAAGAGGAGAGGGGAACAAGAAGAACAACAACAAGACTTCTTGTTGAACAAGAACAAGCAGAAGACCAAAGATGAAATGAATAAGTTGCCTAATTCCTACCTAAGAATACTTCCCCAGTGTCTTAACGTTACGAAACAGTCCCTTGTCTGAACCTACCATCTTAGATATGAATGTACTAGCTACTAGTAGTTCTTGTTTCCCAACCTCCGTATTTGAAATTACGCTTTGTCATGCTGCACCGCGCTACTGTACGTGCAGTAGTACAGTACGGTACCAAGTATTGTAGGAACAGGAGTGAATATTTTTTTCACAAGAAGTTTCAATTTATTTAGGGTCAGAGTTAACGACGAACACATAAGTTTTGCTTCCAAAACGATACGATTCATTCGATTTGATTTGATTCGATTCGATGTGACAATTTGGCGCCCTCTCAATTTTTGTTGCAGTGCCTTTTCATTGGTACGAAATTCTTGTCCGAAAAAATGACGTTTTTCGAAACGGGTAGATTTCAGATGGAACTGGGGCATCTACGTTACGGTACGGTACCGGTGCGGGTATGGTACTGGTAGTATCCATCACAACAACATGGTATTGGATCACGTAAGGTGTCGTGCAGATTCGTACCGATCGCTGTGCGAGGGAAAGGTAATAGTTGTGACTTCCGCTGCGTGGTCCTGCATTGYGGTCCGTTTCGGATCTTCCGTTTCTTCGATCGCACTTTCTGTATTGGYTATCTGTTTCATTAACACAACAGAGTCACGAAAACACTATCGCCAACAATCATACACGGTAAGATTCAACTGTGATAGATTGCCTGAGGTGCGAACACGAAAGGCTGCAGATTTCMCACTGCTGAACCCAAAGAAGCCAAATCAAATCCATGAACGCTAGAARGAATATCTGTTTCTTGTCGTGTCGGTACCTCCCTCTGCATCTGCATCTAGCACTTCTTCTTCTTCCCATTTTAGGAACCCTGTCACTGATTTTGCCGTCGCATTCCCATCCTAAATCCTTCCGTAGAACAACAAGCACGATGCAGCATCAACGTCCGCAAAAAGGCTTCGATTCCGCTTCCACCGCAAGTATGGCATCAAACGTTCGCCACGCTGCCTTCTCGGGCTCCGATAACGTTCCACAACCAGACAAAAAACTTATGACAGATTCCTCTCACCGTCCGAAGACGCGTGGGTCATTCGGAATCATGGTGGTCGGTTTGGGTGGAGCCAACGGAACCACCATGCTGGCGGGCATCCTCGCACACCGACTAAATGTCGAGTGGTATGGACCCAAGGGAGAACCAAACAAACCAAACTACAACGGATGCATCACGCAGTTGAATTCCAGAGGCGTCCACGGTGGCGTGGGATACCGCAACCTCTCTCCGGCACTCGACAAGCGTCTGGGGGATGCCAGCATGGCAGCTGTCGGTGGATGGGACATCCGACCGACTCCGCCCGGAGATGCCCTGCTGGAAGGGCAGATTCTCGATTACGATCTGGTGCGCCAGGTTCGATCCGAAATGAACAAGGTCAAGATCTTTCGGGGGCTCTTTGATCCGAGGTTCATCGGGGACAGCCAGCACGARGCGGCCACCCACGTTCTCACCGAGCAGGACGCCACGTGCGATAGTGATGCCCTAAAGTGTTTGAGGGCCGACATCCGATACTTCAAGTGGAGAAACGGAGTCGTGGGACACACGACGGTGATCTGGAGCGCCAGCGTCGAACCCAACAGCGAGCTGGTTTCGCAGCTCAAGACACCTAACGACCTCATGCGCAGCATCGAGCTCTCGGAGGAAGAACGGGGAGGGCCCCTTCCCCCATCCCTCTTGTACGCAACCGCAGCATTATTAGAGGGATGTTCCTTTGTGAACGGAGGAAGCCAGAACACACTGGCATGCCCTGCCTTGTGGGAACTGGCGAARCAGCAACTAGGCGTTTACTGCCTTGGAACCGACTTTAAGGCCGGCCAAACGAAATTTAAAACGGCCGCCGTGGAATACTTGCGAACGATGGGATTGACCCCTATGGTCATCGCCTCTTCGAACCATCTCGGAAACAATGACATGCGCAACCTCGACTCGGCCAAGGCCGCGCGTTCGGCCAAGCTGCGGGTCAAGCACGACATTTTTGCACCCTGGGAAGAACCACAAATCGATCACAAGGTCAGCGTTATGTTCACCCCTTACATCAACGATGACAAGCGCGATTTTGTCGAATACACCAGCCTGGGATTCATGGGCCAACCCCACACGATGGTCACCTACACCCGGGCATCGGACTCCGTCCTTTGTGTCCCGCTCATGATCGATGCCGCGGTTTGGTGCGACTACTTTGCCGGACGCTCCTGGCCCTATGAAAAGGTCAGTCAGGCCCTGGCATATTTGTTTAAGGTGCCGGAAGGTGGAGCCAAGGGAGTGGATCCTGGATTTTTCCGTCAGATGGAGACCCTAAAAGAAAACGTCTTTGCGGCGCTTGATGGCACTATTTCTTCTAGGAGCGGAGGGGTTCTTGCAGCGGCGACTATTAGTAACCAAAGTAMGGTTGTTGCGGAGGAAGGCAATGCCAAGCGAAGGGTCCGCATCCGTGCCGGAGAAGAAGAAAAGGTGGTCGAGTGGGCTATTCCCCACGAAGCCAGGGTAATTTGTGCGGGTTTGGCGTGTGTTGATATGCAGCTCAATCAGGCGACTGGTGGAGACGGCGGAGAAGGCATCGAGAGCTTCGAGGGAGAAAAGACCATTGGAGGAGGAAGGTATGTATTGTTGCGACTTTTATGTTGCATATGAAGAAAACAAACAGAGTCAAGGGCTGCAAGCGAGCACAAGAGAAACGGTTGAATATCCACTCTATCCTGGACCGATCGAAGGGTTTCTTGATTTTTTTCGTTCGCTCGTTGATCGCCAATAGTTTTCTCTGACGAAATTCCGTGTTCTTTTTGTATGATATCGAACCCAAAAAAGTGTTTCAATGGCTTGTAAGACACTTGCTCGCTTGTGCCACGGAGAAGCCCTGGACGAGGCCTAYATGCAGGTTACCCCTCCGGTGGTGTCTAGCGTCGCTCCGTTGTGCATGGTGGGAAATGATGACACGGGTACAAAGTTGCTTTCTCTGTTGGAAAATTGTGGATCGGCCTCTAGAAATATCGATACCCGAGTGGTGCGAAATTGCCGAGCGAAAAACCCATCGAGTCGAACAGCTTTGGCTGTCCTACCTATCTACCAGGATGGTCGTCGAGGATGCTTCTTTGACGCTGCTTCAAACAATGAATTCACAACCGACCAGTTGCTTGATATGATTTCCGAACTATCTCCAAACCTAAAGTCAAAGGAAGGAGTGGACACCACAGGGATGTCAATGCCATCATATGGAGGACTCCTCTTTGGCTATCCTCACTTATTGCCACGCATTCAAGGACAGGCATTGTCACACTTTTTCCAGCAGTCTCGCAGAATCATGATTGATCAAGGAATCATTGCCTTAGATTTGAATGGTGTTCCGAAACCTGATTTACCCTTTGTTATGACAGGATCACTTCGCAGCTTGAACGATCTTCRGAACGACAGAGTAATAGGGCCAGCTTTGGAACACGTTGATATTCTGCACATGAATGAAGATGAACTAGTGTTACTGACTGGATGTCAGATCCTCGACACGGAYGATTCTCAACAAGAGGACGAATTTGCTATTACCAAGGCCGTGGAATTATTTCTGCAATGTGGTGTTGCAGTTGTAGCTGTAACTCGAGGAAGCAAAGGAAGCTATGTGGCATGTGCTTCATCCGAACGTTTCGAACGAAGTCCTTCGTTGTAAGTTTCTTTTGAACACGAATTCCTCTTCATATCATGGTATTCTTGAAAAACTTTTCTCTAACACATCCGTTCGTTTTCTAGACCTATGTCTTGGATCAATTSTTCTGCCCACATGCCAGCAGCGTTGCTTCCGGAGGGAACTCGCTTGAATACCAACGGTGCTGGTGACGCTTACACRTCCGGACTTTTAATTGCAACGATGCTTCGTCACACTGGAAAGATTACTTCGAATACGCCTAAACCTTCTATTGCAGGSGAAGTGCCCCAAAAGAAAGAGGAATTGGCTTCTTCTGCAAGGGGYACTTCTCGTAGTGGGAAAAAGATGACTCCATACACACTATACATGAAAGAAAATTACGTTTCGCTCAAGCAGCAGTGTAAGGACGACAAAAAGGCAATCTTCACTAGATGTCACGAAATGTGGGAGAATGAGACTGATGAAGTAAAGGGGATGTACGAAAGGATGGTCAAGGAAGAATATGATGATACTGGAAGTGATGTTTTCAGTGACACGAGCCTCGACGCCCTTGATATCTCTGACATTTCTTCTTCCAAKAAAAGTAGTGGTGCACAGTTTCAAATCGAACAAAAGGAAAATGCGTGCCTGAATCTTGAATCGGCGATTCAATTTGCTGGGCTCGTAGCGGCATATCATGTCGACACAAAGACAAGAGACCTGAATAGTCTTGATCTTGGCAGTCTACTTGAAGGATCCATTGTATCCCTTTCACACATGGCTCAAAACGAAATCTAAGTTTTCTGATTTCTACTTTCGACTYCGACAATGGATATTGCAATATTCGTATCTAGATGTCCCTTCTGAATAAAGAAAGTACAGTAAAAACCCTGCTCTTTATGAAAATATTTATGYTGGTATCTTTCATCGCCATGGTGATCTATRCTAAAAAAGGGTTATCACCAAGTCCAAGCATGAAACACGCATATGCACGCAAGTCACTACAAATACTTACTAGAAATACAGGATTGTGTTCACTGAATGAAATCCATTACAACAAACAATAACTATAATTTACCATTTCAGGGCYAGGGTCATTCAAATTAATCCTAAAAATAATATTGAAGTAATACGATTTTCGAGAGATCGAGCAAGTTCAATAGAAACTTGCAGGCAACATAACGCCATCAAATAAGTTCTTATGTGCTCCTGTAATTCAAGTGCCCCAAAGCCCAGACAGAAATCACTCTTGTCAACACAGTTACACCGACTAGGTACAGTATGCAGAAAGGCACATTTTCACGTGTAAACTCTCCATCGAAAGTATAGTACACCCATCCTTCGGCGGTCCCAGTACAAACCGCATCACCTTGTGTGCATTCGCCAGAATCGACTAGATATTGGTAGAACCCTGACCCAGGATAAGCTGAAATAGGACTTGTATCGTTGTCATACTGTGTGGTCAGCAATCCTTCTAGAACGTAGTGACCAGGTAGCAGCCAATACATAAAAATCCAGAACTTCGGAATGTTTTGCGGTAAGATAAGCACACCACTGAACAAACCAGTATTAGAACCCACCAGCGAACAAAATCCTTGCGCAATCTGTGCATTACGACAAAGTGTGACAAGCATTTGACCTGTATAGGTAAAAAGTGACATGCATAAAAGCATAAAAAGGTAATAGTACCCGAATTTTTCGGCATCGGCTGCAAATCCAAGCATGAAATAGAAGATTGTAGTATACAAAAGAGAAGTCCCAACCAAGAACGGAATCTCTGCAAGTGTGTACGCMGCAGATACTGAAAAAGTATCGTACATCAGAGCAGATTTGTGCCTGTAGTACATATTCCTTTCTGCCTCAAAGAACGAAAGGACAGTGTTCATTCCATTGATAGCAACGATGAGAAAAGATAAATAGATAGTTGTCATTCGACTGCGCATTTGCGTATCATCTGTAGGCACACGGTCACTGATGAAGACACTCCCGATCAACAGCGACAGTAGAGCGGCAGTAATGATGCGTGTTCGGTTATAAGAAGGTGATCTCCAATATACTGTCCATGTCCGTTTTATAACCTCCGTTAGCTGAGTCTTCGTTGTCGTTGCATACATTGACGGAAAACTAATCAAATTCTTATCTGAAACCGCACTTTCAATTCTGGTTATGGAWTCCATACACTTTTGGTGAAGCTGAGATTTAGCATAGGCGCCTGCATAATCGAATTGATTCCCAACTTTAGCATTKCCAGCACCAATAGTGGTCAGCATCCAAGTTGCTGGGTTTTCTCCAGGTTGAATGAAAGGGGTAGCCTCGTAGCACTGTAAATACTTAATCAGATTAGAACTCTCATTTCCTAATTCGCCGTTGAAGACAACTTCGCCACCACGTTTCAAAAGAATTAGCGAGTCAAATGAATTGAAAATTGCGATTGAAGGCTGGTGAATGGTGGCACAAACTGCTCGCCCTGACAACGCAATTCTCTTTAAGCCTCTCATGACAATCGCTGCAGCGCGTGCGTCGAGTCCTGAAGTAGGTTCATCAAGGAAAAGAATCGAAGGATTCGCAACAAGCTCAACAGCAATCGACAGCCKCTTCTTTTGTTCAAAAGATAAACCTCCAGTGGCATCATTTCCAACCAGATAATGTTGAATAGGAGTCAACTCAAGCATATCAAGAGTTTGATCAATGAACCGCTCAGTAGATTCGGGCGTGACAGCRGGGTCTGTGGATTCTAGACGAAGTTTTGCCGAAAAGTCGCACGTTTCCCGAATTGTTAGCTGTGCAGTTTGAACATCAAATTGCTCCACATATCCAGTACATCGGCGAAAACTTCGTTCTTCTTGAAGATGCCCATTCAAACGAACTTCACCAGTGATTTCTCCGCTCGACTTCCTCAAAGAAAGGACATCCATCAGAGTTGTTTTCCCAGCTCCGGAAGAACCCATCTTGGGGAAAAGATAGACAGAGGGAGAATGCAATGATCATAATAAGAGTGCGGTAAAGGAACGCATAGTGATTTGCATGTAGAGTAATGCGTCCGTAGTGCCGATTGTAGAAAACAAAACTTACGAGAGCGGTCATTTTCCCTGCTTCAACTACACCATCGATTCCTTTCAACAATTCGATCTTCTCGCTCCCAATAGATGAGGCCACAGTGTAATGWATATCTTTGAATGTCAAGTTAGCTCTCTGGAAAGGAAGCGCAGTTTCAACGACACTAACCTCCTTGTCCTTATTGTCTGCTTTCTCGTAAGCATCGTTAGATAGTGACTTTCCTGTCGCAAATCTTACTTTAACCAATGCGACACTTGCACCAATGACTGCGAAAATGCAGATTATAGCAGAAAATAAGATCGAGTACAAAGCCCACTCGAACGAGTATGGCTCGCCGCTAGGGTCAACAAAGCCTCCATTTTTTAGTATAACTTGACCAACTGTCAAGTTTTTTCCAAGATACATTACRTCGGTTATCTGATCGTATTTACCGCTATCATACTCATTGACAATGAGGGCACGAAATGCCCAAGCGAARATGTTCACCCAATACAACCAGATCCAGTATACAGGTATATTGTTCGGTGTYACCTTCAGCAGTCGCGTAAAACAAAAATAACATGAGAATTCCGAAGAACTCTAGGTCAAAGAGAACATGRAATGCTTCAAATTTGGTYGTTCTTACCGTGAAACCAGAGAAGAGAATCAAAAGAACCAACGAAACCGACATAGCAGCCTGACCCGCGCTTCGCTCCTTAGTAATCGCTGAATATATGCTGAACATTAATCCGATACCGGTGGATGCAGCCATGGTTATCAAAACAAAAAGAATGTAATTTCCGAACGAAGCGCCGTCGTTATGGGCAAGACCTACAAACCAATACACGATTGTTCCATATAGTAAACCATCGATGATGGATGCTGGGATACTTGCCAGACTTCTTCCAACTACGTATGTCCAAGTGGGAAAAAAATTCGCATCTTGATGCTTRTATAGCACCCCTCGAACTGCATATTGTGGAGCAATTTTCATCATGGCTCCAAGTGAGATGAAAAGCATGGATTGAAAGAGAATGCCCAAAACAGATGTTATCTCCTCCGAACCTTGCCAGAATACAGTCCCAGCAATTATGCCCATCAGCAGATCCTGAGCAATACGCGCCTTAATCCCTGCTTTATCGCGCCACCAGAGTAGGCCCTCGCGGACGATGAGCAATTTCAATGATTGTAGCGAGTTATTTTTGTATCTCTCTGTGTAAATTTTTTTCACGTCTTCACTGGAAGCCCAAAGCTCTTYATTATGTTTGTTGTCTTCGAAAGGAATGCCCAAAACCTCCAATATTTTTTTCCCTTGTTCACTCTCGTAGAATCTCAAATGGAACTCATCAGATGTGAGGTGACCTTTGGGTACTTCAATGTTACCATTATGGTCTACAGTTTCAATGAACTCGGCTCCATCTTTCGTTGGTAATGCCTAGAGCAAGAGACAGAGAAACACATTTTTGAGTCCTCTCATCATTGATTTTTCATACCTTTCAACTGGTTATTACTTACTTGTAACCAATCAGCGACATCCATCCGCTCAGGTAGTCTATATCCAAGAGATTCGAAATATGGAACAACTTTTTCAACCGGTCCGCTGTAGATCACCTGGCCCTCGCTAAGAAGAATCAAGTCGTCGAATAGAGCGAAGGTTTCAGGTGGCGGCTGTAGCAATGTAACAATCTTAATGCCCTGCGATAAAGCGTTGACTTCACCCAAAAGCTTACAAATGTCGTACGTCGTTGCGGCTGGGAGAAGATGAGGCATAATTTTTAGTCTGCATTCAAGCAACATKGACTTAGAGAACACGATAGATAAATACGATAATTCCACGTACCGTCAAGACCAGTGCTGATTTCGTCCATGCACAAAATTGGAAATTGTCCAACACACATTTCACCGACAGTGACACGCTTCTTTTCCCCGCCACTGACACCTCGAACTGTTTCCTGATCACCAACAAAGGTATCCTTGACGCGGTCGAGTCCCATTGCCTTTAATACAGTCATAACGAGATATTGTTCATCGTCCATTTTCTTCACAGTGGCTTCGGCCTCTAGCCCGTTGTCTTGTAGAGGAGATTTATGGGTTCCTCCCATGCGRCAATTAAAGGCAAAGTCACATGTTTCCTTGACCGTCAAGTATGGGTGAAGACGTTCAATCTGATCGATGTATCCTACAAGGTTTGACCACACGACGTCTTTTGTTTTCGTGGTTATCCGATTCACACTGACCACACCTCCAACTTCGTGGCTTTTATCTTCGGGAAGAACTCCAGCAATCATTTTCAGTAATGACGATTTGCCGCTTCTGGGAGCCCCAAGCACAAGGTATGTCTTTCTTTGTTCAAAGTACAAGTTGATGTTCTTTACAGGATAATGCTCGACTACTTTCATTCCAGTAAAATCACCTCTCAATGTTCGCTTGAGTGTTTGCCAAACGCGTTGTACCGGGCCACCATTATAAACAGTTTCAATTGAATTTCTTCTTGATTTTTTGGATTGAGCCGGGTCGATGCGCTCGGTATACTTGAATGATCCATCTTTCACACGAATATGGGCATCAAATCGTTTTTTCTTCAATTTCTTGTCAATCTCCTTTGCTGCGACCACGATTGGACTCCCATAAATCGACTTTTGATAAGCTTCCTTGTCTTCGGTGAGTCTCTCCGTGAAAGACAGCATTTCTGCCGCCACCTTTTTTCTCGATGAACTAAGAACATCCATGAACTCATTGCCGAGACGGTCGGGRACTGGTATATCATTCCTAGTTTTTGCATCGAAGCAATCAACGCGGTTAGAAACAATCGTTATACATCAAGCCACTTGCCATATCCCCGAAAAACTAGAAAACTTACTCTTTGCATGTTTCCAGTAAGTCGAGAATGGCGACTTGTAGATCCTGCGGTACAGACCCGTCATTTATGTCCAGATCCATCGCGGAAGGCATTCCGGATTCATCGCAAGATACCATTATTTGTCCTTGTCGAAAACACAGTCAATCCCTCTTCTCTCTTTACTACCCGTAGGGACGCACAATCTATGGGTRTAACAATTTGATTCGTAGTGACTGAGACAAGGCTTCGAGCTGCTGTACGTTTGTTGATACCAGAATGCGAAAAACGAGCCGAGTTTTCAGTTGGACTGTTGACACAGGATGAAAGTGTTTGAGAGAAAAAAATCTTCGAGAACTTCGTAACCTGGGACTACGTAGGCCCTGCGCATTGCGTATGATGCCTGAGTTCTCGGATGTTCGTGACTACAGTGAAAAAGAATACGGTATATCCCTAATCACTTTTTCACTTCAAGTAATTCAAATTACAGTACGTACCTGCATGGTACAAAAATAATAGGCTTATTTTCATGCTACAACTAATACAAAAATAATAGGCTTATTTTCATGCTACAACTAACGGAACGTTCTTCGGAAAACTTCTACCAATCGCAGTCGCAGCTCTACCGTACATAATACTACTGCTACTTGCGAGTAAGGTACGTATTACTATCCTTTGCGATGTATACGACTCCTTCGATTAAGACGACTGAGAATTGGGAAAGATCCAAAATTATTTCGAACACGGAGGCCGATCTGAAGAGTGCCAGTAAGATGCTGTACGTACGAGAATAACTGACAGTACGAGAAAGTCCTACGAACGCASTGACGACACTCCGTGATCGATTCGGCCTTCTCGGGACAAAATCGGTAGCAAATGAGCAGCAACCAACACACCCATTGCAAGAAGAGAAACACCACTTCACCCTCATAAAATTCAATTTGGTCGAGGGCAGGTACGGTAGACATTGTTTCTTCAGCTTGCGCTTTTTTATTTTGCCTGGCGTCGAAGATCGTGAAACCAATCAATCATGGATTCGGAATTGACAGCGGGAAACGCAAACGTAGTAGTAGACGTGGTTGGGCGCGTTGGTGCCAGTAGTTCAGGACGAACATCGAAACCATCGTTGGCTCTTCTGCGCTGCGGTGTGCTATGTCTGGCCATCGGGTTGACATTTTGCTGTCAAGATGCCTTTGCGTTTCAACGGCCCCGTRTTTTTCCATCTCGGAGGGGGTGGGTGACATTGAATCAATAATGATGACAAATGATGACATCGCAAGACGCTGTTTCGGATGCTGTCTAAGACTCATCGAACTTTTTKATTTCTTTCGACCTTTTGTACTCAAATGTTGMTTCTACCGTGAAGATYATCACAGCGCGCAAAAATATCCACGACGTCAAACTCAATTACCGTATTAAAAATGTCATCGTCGATTGGATTCATCGGACTGGGAATCATGGGAGAAGGAATGGCCGCACGACTCTTGTCGGAGGGCGTGGCCGGAACCGAATCCGCTCCTTTGGTTGTGTGGAATCGTACCAAATCCAAGTGCGAAGCTCTAAAGGAAAAATTTGCTGACAAGAATATTGTCGTCAAAGACACTGCGAAGGAAGTTGTGGCGGAATGCGGGATTACGTACTCCATGCTGTCGACCCCCGAAGCCAGCAAGATGGTCTTTGAGGGCGAAAGCGGTGTCTTGTCCGGAATAAAGGAAGGGTCATCWATTGTCGATTGTGCAACTCTGGCAGAGGCGGATATGGTTCGAATGGACGAGGCCATTCGCGGGAAGGGAGGGCGGTTCTTGGAAGCACCSGTCTCGGGATCYAAGGGACCCGCACACCAAGGCTCTCTCATTTTCCTGTGCGCCGGTTCGGAGGAATTGTTCAACGAGGTCAAGGATAATGGGTTGAAGGCCATGGGAAAAGCTAGTCACTTTTTCAAGACCGAGGTAGGATACGGAACACGAGCAAAACTCGTTGTCAATTCACTCATGGGAACAATGCTCGCTGCCTTCGGAGAGGGGCTAGCTCTTTCGGAAGGAATGGGATTGGATCCGAAAACAATGATTGAAGTRATTGGACAGGGCGCTATCCAGAGTCCCATGTTCAATCTTAAGGGACCCAAGATGGTAGTGAAGGACCATGCCCCTAACTTCCCTCTCAAACACGCACACAAGGACATGGCTTTGGCTTGCGACATGGCGCAAGCTGCGGGTGTCGAGTACTCTGTGATGAACACKGCGGAAAAGTTGTTTCGAGAAGCTCGCGAGGATCCCGAATTGAAACTCGCAGACGAAGATTTCAGTGCTGTCTTTGAAACGGTACACAAAAAATCAACSAGTGAATTCTCCAAGAAACGAAAACTCAACGATTAACTCCTTTCTGGCGATACAGGGATTGGGTACATCGGTCCAACCTTTTCGAAATGATTGGGTTTCAACTGTCAATCAGCACGCCTTTGCAAAGCTATATTGAAGTAAACACAAACCTTTTCTACGTAGCTTATAGTTTTGAACTTCGTGTTGTTTTATCGTGTCTACAATCGAGATATGATCAGTAGAATAATTATTTGTTTGTGCYCGTCAACATGGGCTACAAAACTGCTTGATATTCGACTTAGCATCTCTTCTAGTGATCAGTTTTACATCGACATAAAGATATGAATTCCGATATTGTTCTAGTTCCCCCGTACTAAAATGAATCGTTGGCGAACGATGAAACTTTTATCAGAAAGGCACAACAAGTAGTGAACAACAGATGAGCCAAAACCATTGCTGTCGACAACAAAAAGCACGATAGACAATAGACCATAGGMACTCATATAAMAGTATGATTTACTTCATTTCCCATGAATCCCACTACTACTATTCCATAYAGATTTCCTCTGTTCTGCTTCGAACAATTTACCTAGTATCACTGTTGAGCTTCAAAATGGAACAAGTTTTCTACTACCAACTAGAGTGAGTTGACCCTTGCTTAATCTTGGATGTGAAACAAACCCACCACATATATTTTTGTCCATCATTTCCCTGAGTAACGACCAATACTTTGACTAGAAAATGAGTCTTTTTGCCACACAAGTTTGTCAAAGCTACTTTGCTTGAGATTTATTCCTGTTCCTGCTGGCCATGCTGTTAATACTAATTTCTTTTGTTTCTGTCCTGTCCAAAGMGAGGACATCAGAGTGTTGGAAGGCAATTTGTTCCTTTTAATGTATTTTTCTTCTGACTGCTCTATGATGCTCTCAGGGGTATGTGGCATTTGCCACAAACAATTCCAACTGTTTTGAGGTACTGAGTAGACTGTAAAATGACCTATACTACATGACATTACTTCTCCTTTGGATGATGRTATCCACAGGGGCATTCAAATCTGTGGGTCAATATTTATCATGTTCATAAACAGGTCAGAAGACTACCATAGACAAATCAYTGCAACAGAATTTCCCAGAAGAAAACAAAACCCTTTACTAGCTGGTGGATTGTCTTGCATACCAACATGGGCATTGCATCATGCGACCATACAGAACAACAACTACTCTGATGTCAATGGGATCCAATCAAAGGCTTTGATCCAGCAATATTACAGACATTATAACACAAAAGATCCATGCACTAATCCAGTAGTTCCCATTGTTAATTTGATGATACAATTTTTTTGAACAAATTCTACAGAGCACTACTGCTGAGTGTTGTTCCCATCCATTTTCAACATGGTGGTTTAGAACTAATATGCCTTGTGAGAAAGAAGCAGAATTGGGTCTGTGTCACCAGAATATTTGAAAACTACCTCTGCTGTAGATTTTCTACTGTATTCTACTGTGCTAATGATGTCATCATGAAATTAANGAATTGGGTCTGTGTCACCAGAATATTTGAAAACTACCTCTGCTGTAGATTTTCTACTGTATTCTACTGTGCTAATGATGTCATCATGAAATTAATAATGGGAACCAGTACTGGATTGTCAGTGCACAGATCAATTCTTATGATATTCATAATATATTTTGGGCTACCACATAAAGAAGTTAAATATTACTCCACCAAGGTACAATCTAGATTTTACCTTTTTTACCCACTGCATTGACTGTAAAACTGATATATAATACTATGGTGAGCAGCTTGGCACAAGCTTAATTTTAACTACCTCCATTCCAAAATAACATAGCAGTTTGCACCTCTTAGGCTGGATTAAGCTTCACAACACTTTTGATGGTGCGAAGATTGTTGTTGATTCAGTCTTTGTATTGAAAAATAGGGAGCATGTCCTCATCAAGAGTTCACAGATAGACCCTGAACAAGCAGACATAATCCTTCTCAACAGGGATGGTACTTCATTGAAACAGATGGCAGAATGGTGGGGAATGAGGATGCTCCAGTGACTGTTTCTGGGGATAAAAGATCCACTGTGCTTTGAAGAGCTTGGGGAGAGGAGGGTCATCATCCACTTGTTGTTGGTGAAATTGTACAACTATCAGTGTAGTAAGGTTGGGCACAATCATATCCTAACCATTCTCATGAAGCGCCCGCCAGTAACCCTTGAGTCCATCCAGTTGCGCTATTAACCCTTGAGTTCTTCCAGTTGCCATATATGGAGACAGAGCTTGAGAGAGGATACTTTAATGCTGGAACGCAGCTCTCAAACAACATGAATGGTCTGTTTGAATGAAGAATCCCATGATGAAATTCAATTGCAGTGTGTTTGTAGGGAGATCACAATAAGAAGATTTAATTTGACAGTTGCTTCTGCAAGTTGCAAGTGGTCACCACGAGCTGCAAGTCAAAAATAGTCGCAAGTCACAAACAGTCCCTGTAAATCAATACAATATGACAACATGGACACAAGTTCTATTCTCACACCTTGTTTGGTACTGACAGATTCTATACAGCGCTCCCACCCTGGTGCAGAAAGGAATGGTTGGTTTTGATAGGGTATGATTAGTAGTTTTGTGAAGCAGCTGTTAGCAACTGATTGATAGNGAATTGGGTCTGTGTCACCAGAATATTTGAAAACTACCTCTGCTGTAGATTTTCTACTGTATTCTACTGTGCTAATGATGTCATCATGAAATTAACGATGGGAACCAGTACTGGATTGTCAGAGCGCAGATCAATTCTTATGATATTCATAATATATTTTGGGCTACCTCATAAAGAAGTTAAATATTATTCCACCAAGATACAATCTAGATTTTACCTTCTTTAACCAACTGCATTGACTGTAAAACTGATAAATACTATTATTGTGGGCAGCTTGGCACAAGCTTAATTTTAACTACCTCTATTCCAAAATAACATGGCAGTTTGCACCTCTTAGGCTGGATTAAGCTCAATATTTAGGCAATTTGACTGCTTCTTTTCTCCTTATAATCATCCATTTTTATACTAGTATACAGTTGCATAATTGTGTTGAGTATCCTCTTTAACAAACTAATTACTATAGCACTTCAGAATGTGCTATTTTTGGCATGTGATTGTGATTTTATCATGTTCTGGTGGTCACTTTGATACATGGCTACTCAAAACATGATAGCAAACAGTGGCACATTTTGAGGCAGTACTTGTCACCGTACTTTTGTAGAGAACTTTCATGTACCAGTCATTCTTGTTCAAAAGAGGTGCTATGTACATCATTGTTTGCCATGTTATTAATAATATTATGTGAAATTTTTGTATGAAAAATATTTTTTGATGACGCATAGTATGTACATTTTTAGAGTACAGTACTGATTGTACTACATGCTCTGCACAGTCATTTGTGGAATCCAACTGCCAAAAATTTCCAAAACTGTAAGTAAATACTGGAAGATTATTTTTGGGAAAATGAGTGGGGCAAACTGGAAGGCTATTGTGGGATGGAGGTAGTAATAATTTTGCAGGCACATGGTCAGTGGAGAGGTTGGGGCTAAATCTTTGATTTGCAACCAATCTTTCTTGATTTGCAACCATAGTAATTTTGGCAGTTTGAACTGTATCTTAGTCTCCAATGGTCACATAAGAGTGCCAGGGGCATGAATCAAAAGCAAATGGAAACAAGAAACTATTTGTATAGGGGTATTGGGGGGGGGGGGGTAGTAATTAAGGACATATGTAGTGACCATATTGTATAGAACTGGGTATGCAATTCCTGACAAACCATGCATACATTTTTTTATTTGTGATATACAGTGCTGTATACCTTTCAATACTTGTTAACCCCTATAACCCCCACATGACTATAATTGTCTTGTTACTGGCTTTTCGTTCATGTGCTTATTGATGTCAAGTCTGTTGTGGACCAAGATAGAGCTGTTAAAGTGAGTTGGCCCTTAGTTAACTCTCTATGTCTATTGTGTACGGTGCATCAATTTTGGGCCATCCAATTACCATAATGAATACTTTGACTCAACACATTTGAGTCCCACAATGGACATTTTGCACCTCAACAGACCATCGCTAATTGTTGTAAGTCATATTTTGGCAAGACACCTCCTTCTTGATACATTTATTCTCTTTCTGGTTATCAGAAGGAAGTGTGACAGAAGCATTTTTCTTGTGCTTCAACACTATGCATAGATCCCATTTCTTTCTCCTTGAATCAATCAAGAACAATAAATCCTGTGGGGGAGGAGACCCCTGCTAAAAATGGAGGATACTGAAAAAAGCAAGCAGCAAAACAAGCATACTGAACAACTCAAACCACCAGATTTTCTTGTGGAAGACCTCCATAAGGATGATATTGATACTACCCCACAAGCTCCCCAGACTTAGTCCCCCCATGACGCACTGGAGCACTCTTGTTTGGTTCTCCACACCCAAAGCAGAGGGTAAAATTAAATGGGAGGAGAGCAAAAACAAAGAAGACAAGGCATCAGGCCAGAATGCTTGTTTACAAAGGACCCAAGGTGTGTGCTTACAAGCACTGGATGCCAATTGCAAGATTGCAATCTGAAAGGACAACCTGGAGATGAAATGGCACCCAGCAACAAAGGCAAGGGAAGCAGCAGAGTCAATCTTCTAGTTGCCGTATCACTTCTTAACCTTTTCTGTTGCTTTTGTACACTGCCTCAGTCTATTATCACAGTTGTAGACCTGCTCCACTGGATTGTGTTTAATTGTCTGTAAAGCAAGCCTTTGATGGAACTCACAATAGCTCATCACATTCCTTAGCTTCCACTCATTGCCAAGGCTCCCATCAGTGCATTCTCTGTACATGTTGTAACAAGCTGTAACAATGGCCCAAGCCCTTGCATGATTAATTGCAGCATGGTAGTATTTCCACAATGTGTAACCAATGTTGGCTCTGGAGATGTATGGGTTGATATGGTCTAGCTTGCCATAAGTATAAAGACAAACCTCATAAGACTCATTCATTTCAGTGCCTCATTGTCTCTTGTCCATTCCCCTCCCCCTTTCCTTCTGGTGAATGTAAAGAGATGAGAATGAAATAGAGTTCA